AGATGTACTAGCACCTCTCCACTGAGCTGGAAGTAGGGCAAACCCCCAACCAGACATCAGATTTTAGGTCCCTAGGCAAGGGAAAACGAAGAACAAATTAAATGTTCACTGCAAGCAGTTCACTAAACAGAAGAACAATAATAGTGTTTTTCTGCCATTCTTTTCATTTCTCCCAGCATAACTACACATCTTCTGGATACAATCTGTTTCTTTGCCAGGGCTTCAACATTCTCCCCTGAATTAATGATGCTGGAAAATCTCCACTTTTCATAGACTCCGATAGTCTTTGCTGAGCAGCAAAGGGCTGCACAATGCTTGCTTATGCAATGACTGGTCCTGTGCCAGGAATAATAGCCTGTCTACTAGGAACAACCAATTCACACACAAACCCAAAATACTTTTCTCATTAAATGTCTGAACTAGGTGGAGTAAAACCACCCTGAACCTACTGGTCAAACTGTACACTAATGTCAGCATCCACACTGAGTTAAATAATCCCCCACCCTGGTCTTTGAGGAACAGTTAGCATGAGCAGAGAAGGGTGGCACTTCCCTATTCATTACCTCTGAAGTACTCTTGACACTATCAAGAACTATTATTACAGGACCGGGCAACAACAGGACACCTGAAGCAGTTAAAATGCAACTTAATCTGGGAAACTACTTACAGGACAAGCACTGCTTTGGCTACTTCAGGCACCAGCATGCTGCAGTCATGTGGTAACTCTTCTGTTCGCAGGGATGATCTGTCCCTGAGCAGATGAGGGGGTGGACAGTACCATCTTACTTGCAAAGTGATCTGCAGCACACTGCCCATATCAGCATTTGTTTCAAGGCCTTTCTGGACCATGCTTTAATTATGATGTATCTGTATTTCCTCCCAAAGAAATACTGAAGGAAGGAAGGTCCCATAAAGTTAGTTTTATCTCATGTAAGGGGAGAAAGACCAGGTCTTATTGTCTGAAATCGGGTTAGTTGCAATAAGGTGCAAGTCCATATATAAATTTTTGCCCATGTCAGGATGGAAACATCAAAGAACCCTGGGAGAACCCTTCCTCCATTTTGACCTGTGGCTGAGAAATAAGCAACCAAATCATTAACACTTTCTTGTAGACCTCAGAATTCCATCCTTTGCTACCTTACCAAATCATTACTCCACTAGGATGTCAGCCTTCCATCCTTGATCACATTTTACTGGCGAGAGGAAATAAGGACATCTCTACTTTAAGTGAAAGCTCACTATGAAGCTTAAGTAACAAAGAGGTACAGGCTGGACAGTTATCCTGGCCACCAGCACCAGCTTTTCTGGAGGGCATTGGGAGATCTAGGGGCCACATCCCTTTACTTCTGACTTTTACTGGTGGAGACGAAGAGGCTGCTGCCTCTCCTGCAATTTTAAGAGTTCCAAGTTCTATTACTCTGGAGAACAGGGCTTTTACAACATGGCGTGAAATTACACTCAGAGAAGAGACACCATAGCTTGTCACTTATCTCATCTACAGAGCATCCCTTGCCAGCCTCTCTCAGTCATAACACAATATCTCACAGACTGACATTTTGCAGAGTACCCTTGGAAAATTAACTAAGGAGAAGTACAGCTTTGGAGCAAATATAAGTCAGACACATCTGGAAAGCAGACCTGCACATGTATGGGATGAAAGCACCTGGTCAGTGAGGAGAAGTCCTACAGTTCTGTGCAAAGCAATTTTTTCAAGTGATACCTTCTCCAACCATTTAACTCTTCTCTGCTGTTATCAGGGTCTCCCCTCTGGTTTTGTACCAGAGCACAATTTCAGTGTTGACTCAGGAAGACTGGGTCAATTTCTACCTGCACTTCTCCACACATCATTTTGCATGGCTGCAGTGTAGATCTCTGTCCCACATGAGTACCTCAAAGGAATCTACACTAAAGATACCAAAGGGGCAAGTTCATGTCAAAGCTTCAGGCCAGTAGCTCATCTCTCTCTGTCAAAATCAGGAAGCTACAGTGAGCCCTGAACCCACTGAACAGGGAGAGGTTTACAAGCCCCCGTACAAAGCAGTGGCAAAGAATTAAAAGAAACACTGCAATCTGTGAGGAAAAAAAAAAGGTGACAAATAAGGGCAGATGTTAAAAAGACAGCTGCATCTATCCATAGTATCCTCCATCCCAGAGAAACAGATTGCTTACGTTACTGAACTCGAGGAATTTGCACAACCTGCTTAAGTGCACGTGCCCAATTAGCCAAGTACCAGGGAAATACACAGCGTCAAGAGACAGCTGGAATAACCTGGGTGCATATGAAGCCAGCACTCTGGGAACACTGAAGAGGAAAGAAAACAAGCTGAGTATTTTCATGCTAGAGTTTGTAATAGCACTTAGTTTATGGGTTTTATAGAAGAAGTCACATTTCTTGCATTTTTACCTTCCAGAGGGTTCTGATTTCTTTATTTCATTCTCTTACCGACAGAGCCATCTAGTGGGTGAGGCATCATTTGTTAGAAGGAAATTCTGATTTATCAAGCTGTTTAGTAAGGATAACATACACATCACATGTAGGATCTTCAAAGCAGCCTGTAACAAACCAGCATATCAGTTAGTCTAGTCAGAAATCACTAATATGTTTTTCTTGGGTGAGGCTTAAATTCCTACCAATGTGAAACTTCAAACTTTTCAACACAAATTCACAGTATCTTTCTGAAGAGGGTAAACAGTTCATACTAGATTCAGCCTCAGCCTGAATTCATAGTGCAAAGCTTTTAGTTTATGGAAAATCCAGTATCTTCTTCAAAGCTTATGTGGATTAGAGATGGTACATGTTTTAAGTAAAGCTTAAAATCTAAGGCAACACTGATTGGAAAAAAAAATAAAAAAAAATATTAATTGCTGTGTGCTCAGTGGATAGTCACAAACATAGAGGGTGAGAAACATCAGAAGGGGTAGGAACTTCTTAAAGCAGATATATTGCAGAGTTTGTTATATCAGTCAAACCTACTGGGGAGGGTTATTGTTTCTTTCTGAAATTCATGGTTGTCCCTCCTGCCCTCAGTGCTTGCTGAACACCACATCAGCAGTTTCAAAGAGAACACGGTGGAGAGAACAGAAGCTTGGCACTGCACAGAAAGGAAGAACAGGAACTTTAAAAAACAACAGAAAAGATAAGCAAATCATCATTAGTGGAAACAATCCACAACAAAGATGCTACTGCCAGGCAGCTTTAATCTGCTTAAATAGCATTTAACAATTATACTCTTTAGGGTTCCCCTTGGTGTTTCAAAGCCTTTGCCATTCCGGTAGCTGTCTGTGGTCAAAATGTGGTGCCATTTCTCCTTGCCCTCTGCAAAACAAACTAGCATCTAGCCTTCAGGAAAGGCTACACAGTATTCTAGAGTCAGAAGGAAATGGTGAGACACAAGGCCAATGGGCCAGATTTGCAGCCTTGCCAAAATGTTGAATCTCTTAGAAAAGATTGTTTGTCAACGATCCCCCTCCCCATAATCAGTGGCTTACTTCTTTTTCCACATATTAATAGTTCTTTTTGGAGGCTTTACAAAAAAGGGAAGCAGAGGTTTGAGGACTGGGAAGTCCTAGATAGTCCTGGCAAAAAAATGATGAGGCAACCCTCACCATTTCCCTGAAGTTTCAGGGAGACCCAATAGAAGCCAGACCCAAAGGAATTCAGGCAAAGTACTTTTTCTTTCCTCAAACTGCAAATACAGCTTTCAGCATTCCTGTTACTAAACAAGGTAACAGTAACTTCATCACACACTGCACATTAGTCACTGCCAGGGTGACACCCTTTAAACAGAACAATTTGCTATCCTTCAACACACACTCCATCCTTTACTAGTTTATAATTGTGGCAATTAATTGTTGCACTAATCAATCTGTTTTCTATTAGGTGTTTGCTTTGGGAGAGGAGGCTGTTCCAGCTGCTGAAGAAGCATCCTATAAAACCTTGCAGCAGATACTTGACTCAAGTTACACAGAAAGCAATCATGTATTGTGCCATTCCTGTTCTGCCTGTTGATGATAGTGTAACTCCATTGTACAAAAATTCTGACTTGATTAGCAAGATAATCACAAGCCCCATGTATTGAAATCAATAAAACCCAGTTAACACACTGCAAATAAAAGACTTTTATTCCAAATAGCCATGCTACTACTACCTACCAGGGAAGGGGACACCTCATATACCACCATACAGCAACGAGCAGAAGTTGTCAACTGAAATTGTTCTGCCTACCAACCCATTTCCAGCACCCCCAGGCATTAACATGGGATACTACAGGCAGACAGTTCAATTCTTATAATGAAGCTCATGGTAAAGCAACAGAATGAAATTATTTTCTCCTTTGTGTGTTAAAACGTCAGTCTCAAGGGTCATCTAGTATAGATTCAAAACGGACTTCAGCTTCATGTTGATTTTAAGGCGGTCTTTCTCAAAACAGTCTTGTGACATTCAGAAGCCTTTACTGAAGCATGGGGAAAAATTCTGGGAAAATACATCTCTCCCCCAGTAAGACCTAGAACCAAACTGATTATTAGAGTCCCAAACAGTACAAACAGCTGTTACTACTAGTGATTAGAAAAGTTGTTGCTTCTATATAGACTAGTGCAGTTGTACTTGCCTGTATCTCACACAGATACACCCTCAGAGGGAAGGGCCCTGATCAACTGTATCAGTGATGATCCTCTGCCGAGTCACTGTCAAATTGAAGAATGACACATTTCCACAAGTAAGTGTTTAGTATCATTACTAAACCCCCAAACTGCTCATTTTAAATTGGAAATAATGTCTTTAGGAAAGCATTACTGCTACATGAACATGACTCACATGCCCTGTTTTGAAGCAGGGCTTTGTGGAAGCTATGTTGTCTTTTGGACAAGTTCCTCAGTCTGGTCGTAAGACAACACTGCAGTGCTTTTACAGCTAAGCTCGAGCACATCTTAAACACATTTTAAGATGGTTTCTAATGCAAATATTTAGGATCATTACTACCCAGAAGAACATGTAGCAGTTTTTCTAGTGACGCGAGACCAAATATAGCTTTATTTACAGACAATTCAAACAAATTCATACATTAGTTCAACTTTCATGTCTGCACACAAGGGAGTCTTCACACAAGGGAGTCTTCACAGCATCAGAGCAGAAAAGCAAGAGTAGCTATTTTGTATGTGTACAGACTGGTAACTGTATGCAAGTATGTGATTAGGTACAGAAGTGTTACATTTAAATGTGTAACCATTTAAGTCAGTAATAATGACAAGGCTATACTTTTAGCGAAATAAACTAAACTTACAACTACAGATCAGCTGACGATCTACATGACTCTGTATAGATGTTAAGACCAAAAGCTAAAGATGATCCTAAGTTTTGTTCAAAAGATTAGCATTTGTATTGAGTTGCATTTAATGGATAACCATTTATAAGACTTTAGTCATAGCCCTGCACTATCTTTCAAATTTACAAAACATTTCAAATGTATCCTTGCAAATGCCTATTTTATATTCTGTCATCTTTTCCCAGGCAGGAAAAAACTAAGAGAGTTACAACAGAATTTTTCACTGCAAATATAGTCTCAGGCTACCAAAGTTGTGCGTTCCTAATGAAAAATTCTTCCCCTACCCAAAGAGAAAAAATAAGAAATGCAAGAATACAAGCTCAATGTACAGATCCGAAGATGAACCTCTATCTATTGTAGGTCCATATAAAGCAAAAGAACATAGTGCTTTGCTTCTCAGGAAGCTGCCTGTTTCACTGTATCTTCCATAAATGCAGCTAATATGACTTTAAAACATACTATTTAAAAATTCATCAAGAATGCTTTCTAATTCTTTAGAGAATGAATGACAACAGGACTAAAGAAGAAAATGGAAACATGACAATCTTTAAAAGTCAATGCATCACACAAATACAGAGTAGTCAAATCTAGATATAAAGTCTACTACTTTCCAGACAAAGCTATTTTAACTTTGAAATCAACCTACAATGTATTTGCCCAAGAAGAGTCTTGTCATGTAAGAGCAGACAAGTTTTTGTCAGAAACATTTATTAAACAAAACTGATACCAATGCGCATATAGTCAAGTTAATATCCTCTAATAAAAAAAGCATGTTGGTCAAGACTGAAGTTATCTTCGCTTCTGGAAAATGTTGCCACGGCCCATACCACGGCCTCTTCCTCTTGCAGCCACTGAAGAAAGAAAACATCAGGGATGACACGCATTTGGTATAACTGCGTATTTATCTCAACAACTGACAAGTAAAACATAAACAACACTCAAAGCCTCTTGCTTAGAAGCAAGGAAACGAAGCTATCCTATGAAGTTCAGAAAGTGATATGACAGCAAAAAATTTTCTGTGAGAAGGACCACAACTAATGGTTATACAGTCTTGCTACTTAGAACAGATGTGCTGAATATCCATACACTTCACATTCCTGCTAAGCTGACACATAAATCTGTATAGCCCAAGGGATTTAAAACCCCACACTCTTCCAAGGTTTTGCAACAGAACTCAGTACGTTTCAGCGGACGTTACTCCCCCAGTAACTTCACTGCATTTGCTAAAGTTAACCAAGAACTTTGCAGCCCATGATCTCAATCTTGTTATAACTAGATTGCTCCCTGAGAAAGGTACAAATGACAGTGAACTACAGAATAACTAGTAATTACAGCTTCCCAGTAGTTTAAGTACCATCTTAATATCCAAATTTGTTTTTCAACAGAAGCTTAAAAAGAACACCTGAATGCTTCCCTAAGTATTTCAAACAGCTAGTGGCCATAATCACTGGAAAATAAAAGATGAACTTTTATATAAAGCTTCCATGTAACAAGACTATTCACTATATCTAAATTATAGTAGCATCAATATTACACACTTGGGTAATTGGTCAGTTTGAGTTCTGACTCCCACCGTAAGATGAAATATTCAGAAAAACAATATACGAACCAGTAATCTTTCCACTTCTTACAGCTTACATTTCCTCAGTGATACAGATGACAATTTTCCAGTTTTATTACAGAAAAATGGGTGGGAGGACCACAAACAAATTGTACCCACCTTGAGCTTTGAGAATGGCTGCTTTTCCTCGCCCAGCTCCAGAACCCTGGTTTTTATTTTTCATGCTCTTTAGCATGGGAGCGTTCTTCAACATATCTGGTAAAATGAGAAACCGTATCTTGCTACCTCTGATGTACACCTGTTCAAGCTGTGCCACTCGTCCATCTCTGTACGTCACTGTTATGTTGGACATCTGGAAAGTGAAGACCAGTCAATGCTCAGAGAGGCCTCTAACACAGTTCTACATTCCTGTTTCTCTTGCCTGCTGAATATACAGCCAGGATTCAAGTACCAAAGCCAAGGACTTTCCAAGCGTGATGCTTTCTCAACTGGAGTTGTGACACAAGGTACCCAGGACCATTTAAACATACTCCTAAGCCTGCTACTATTCAAGCAGGCCCAGGACTTTTGTTTTCTCCCCAACTTGCAAATTACTTTTTGTTAGTTTTGTTTTCTCATATTGAATCAGTTTTAATAAAGCTATTCTAGTCCTAACTATTAAGGAAGCATCTGGATTGCAACGATGACTGGCCTAAAGCCAATCCAAATTAAGCCCTCTTGGGATGCTTAATGTTAAGTAAGAGTTACTTTAAAAAATTAATGTTAATTTTTAAAAAGCTTCATTTTCTTAAATCAAGTTTTGTTTATTCTTACATTCAGTGGCTTTAAATAAAGAACACCAACAGAAACATTGTTCACAGAACAGAATCTTAACAACCTTGATATTGTTGACAGAAATGCCCAATCCAACTCTACAACTGTAAAGACTAAGCTCTGGCCTCTATTGAAGCACTCAGTAAACCCGAATCCATTTCACTATGGCAAGGGCACACAGCAATACTAATTTCTTTATTCTAAGACTAAAAACAACCATCTTTTAATCACACTGCCAATAAGCTAGCTATCAGCTTTTTCAGCCCTTCCCTCCATCATTCTGAAGCAGGTATACCTGACAATTCATGTTGTCTTCAGCTTCAATAAGTTTGCCTCGGTAAACTTCTCCTGTATTGGTTTCACACGTCACAATATGGCCTTCAGCCTCATGCAGGACTTTAATTGGCACTCCGATCGACATGTTGGCAGTGCTGTGGCACTACACCTGAGACAAGAAAAAAACCCAAAGAGTTGTAAACTAGGTTTCATCTAACACAATTTATGATCTTCCCCAGTGCAAAGCGCCGGTTTTCTCTCTTGCCCAAACACACCATACGCTTTGACGATGCATTAATAAAACTTCTCTAGAAAGATGCCCATGTGAAGAAAAGACTTAAAATACCAGAAGAAGTAAGTCTTTTCCAGGTCTCTTTCGACCTAGGAAGCTCAGTCGTAAACACCAAATAACGGACCGATTTTATAGGCAGGTGCGCCTCCAACACCCACAGCCCCAGGCGCCTCCCGTAACGGCACCGCCAGCCCCGCCGCCTACGAGCTAAGCCGGACCCCACCGCAAAGCAGCTGGCCGTACTGCCGGGGAGCCCAGCCCGCACCGCACACCGCGGCCCCACCACGACCCTCCCTCCCCTGAAGCCCCTCGGTCCCGGTCCCACCCCCGAGGCGGAGCGGGGCCCGGGCCCGAGAAGCCGAGCAGAGCCCCCGGGGCCCGCGCAGCCCGGTGGCTGCGCCCCCGAGGGCCCAGGGGATGCGGCGCAGCCCGGGTGCTCGCCCGGGGGGCGAGGAGCGCCCCGCCGCTCCCAGGAAGGCGGCCGGGGCCCGCAGCCACTCACCGCCCAACCGCCTCAGCCCGGGCCCGCGCTCGTCCCTAATGGCGGCCTCCAGCTTCCCGCCGTGCGCCGGAACCGGAAGGTGGCTGCGGCCGCGGCCCCGCCCCGCTCCGCCCGGCCCCGGCCCCGGCCCCGCTCCCGCGGCACCACGGTTCCGCCGCAGCCCCGTCCCGCCCGCCGCACCTCGCCCCCGCGGCAGGGCTGGCTGCCGGCCCGGCGCTCGGTCCCGCAGCCCCCGCCCGCCGTGTCATGCCCCTGCCCGCCGACGCACCCGCCCGCCGCTCTCCAGGCCGCGGCCACCGCGCGGGGCAGACGCCCCGGGGCCCGGCCCCCCACAGCCCCCGCCCCCGGGGCCGGGAGGAGCCAGCGCCGCGCCGAGGCATGCAGGGGCCCTGGGCCGCGCCGCCGCCCGGGCCGGCTCGGCGGGGCCGGCAGTGAGCGGGCGGCGGGTCCCGCCGCCGCCATGAAGAGCCCCCGGGAGGCCGGGGAGCCGCCGCCAGGTCAGTGTGCCCCGCCGCGGCAGCGGGGCCGGCCCCGGCCGCTCCCCCGCAGCCCTCCCTCTGCGCGGGGCGCGGGCCGGGCTGCGGGGGTCTCCGCGGCGGGGTCCGCCCTGGCGGAACGGGCCGGGGGAGGGAGCCCCGGGTACGGCCCTGCCCCGCGGGAGGCCCGGGCAGCCTCTGCCGCCCTCCCGGAGCCGAGAAGCCGCCGCTTTCCCCAACAGCGGCGATGCGGGGTGACGGGCGCCGTCTGTCAGCTCGTTGCGCCGAGGAGCTGGCGAGGCGGAGGGGTGGTGTCAGTGTTATTTACAGCCACAGCGTATACGGGCTTGGGTCGTATCTGAGGAGAGCTGGCAGTCATCACTTAAGAGGGCAGGGTGTGTTGGGAAACAGGATGACTGGAAGCTGAACGTCCAAGAAAATTAAAGTTATTACCCTTTGAAGTCTTCACGTAGAAAACATGTACCTCTTCAGTTAATCTTAAGACTTGACGGAGGCCCTGGGTATTAACAAAAAGGGAACAGAATCACTGCATGACAAGAAAAAATTACAACAAAACAGATCCTGGTTTGAGGAGAATCTGGGAATTGGGTTTACTTTTAAGATACTTAAGAGCACCTTAGTCTAAAGTAATTAAAAACCAATGCGCATGCTAGTCTTCAAAGTCATGATTAAACAGTGCCACAACTATGAAAAAAAGAATTGGAAAGAATCCAGAATATCTGTATGGGCTTGTCTCTACAGTAGACTATAGTTTTGTTAAAAATAATACAAGATTACAAATGACATTATTTAAAAAGTTGTATAAATAAAATTACAGCAAAAGTAGACCAGTCCATGAGATGTCATGCATTTTTATTCCCGTCTTAAAATGTAGTTGACCTTGTGTTAACAAAACTTTTCAAAGGTCTTTTCTAGATCAAAGGTAAAGTTGTTCAGAAAAGCCCTTTATGATTAACTCACTTTGATCAACATTTAAGTAGCAACAACAGGCACTACACTTCAAGCTCCTCACGTGGTAAGGGCGTTTCTGAAACCGAAACCACCACATTGCCAACCCTATAAAAAATAAAAACTGAGGCAGCGGGATGGAGTTACTTGTGTTCTGGGACTTTTTTGGTACAGACTGTTCTTTTTCCCTCTCCCTTTGTTGAGTTACTGAGGGAGTTAATACAAAAGGCCAACTGGTACCATTTGTGAGCTCTGTTAACCTGAAATTACTCACAGGAATTTCAGTCCCCGGGGAAAAAGACATCTGTAAAGAAGGCTTAAATCTGTGGGGCTTGTCAGAGATCCATGCCTAGACAATCTTGATTGTGTCTGGTTTCTCACAGTTTGGTTTAACCCCTTTTGTGGCCCATAAATACATTCAGGCACAAGGGAAAGGATGAATACCTGTGCCTTACCTGCTATTATTTAGGAGGGGATACAGCTTAGTTAGGGGCTGGCAGGTATGGCACCCCACCAAAAAGAATAAAATGAAACTTCTGAGGAAAAGGGGGTGGACCATATGGCAGAGTGATCCAGGTAGGGAACAATAAAGGAGTACAAGATTAAACCAAATGCTTAACTGTACAGAAACACCAAACCTACATTCCCCTAAGAAAGAAAAAATACCTGCCAATCAGATAAAGTGAAAAAATGTTCCGCCATTATAGTGCCGAGGTCAAACTGACTTTTAGTGCTGAGGTATGGAAAAAACATTCCTGTATGGATTGACGTCTTTCGTGTTTTACTCACAATGGGGTGTTTTCACTACAGTTGACTGCATCCAGCTGAAAGTGCCAGTCATTCAGCAGTTGTACCACTGGGACTGTGGGCTAGCCTGCTCCAGGATGGTGCTTCAGTAAGTGACTGTTTTGGTTTGAACGGGTGGGAAATCCCATCCCATGGGAGAGGGGTAGCAGGAGGTAACATCCAAGGAGAAGAGGTGTGTTGAAGCAGCTGTGAGTTTCACTTAGTCTTGTGAGAGCACATATTCTTGGGTACCCTTGAAGAATTACTGCTGCTTGGGCCTGGCACAGCTCTCCAGCAGGAGCAAGGGAAAATATATGATGAACTTCAGACCCTTTTGAATAATTGACTGTTTTGACAGATGCAAAATACCTGATCAGCTCTAAGAACGTTGCAAGCTGGCATGCGTAAGCTGATAAAGTTACCCCTCTTTCCTGTTGTTATAATTCAGAACTGACACTTAGCACAGCAACTCACTCGATTCCTTTCTGTGTTTTCAAGTGATGGATAGGTGTATCCCAGTTTATGAGTATATCCTGCCTCTGTCCTGCTGAGCCCCCAACCTGTGGGATGAGTGCTTTTGTTCCAGGAGTAGTTTCAACTTCAAAACAATGCACTGTGTTGCCCTCGGGTTTTTTTGGTTTTGTTTTGGTTTTTCTTTTTTTGAACTAGTAGCTGTCCTGCTGAACTCCTCTTTCCTTCCACAGAGGAACATGAGCTTAGGTGCAGGAGAAATACCTATTTAGATGTCCACTTAGTAGATATGAAGCAGAAGATTTTCATTTCTCTCCATCCCTTCTGCCAAGACGTTAGTCCGTGTGCTGGTAATTTCCCATCTTGACTACTGTAACCTCTGCCTCTTTATTCCCTTTACCTCTTTGCCACTCCAGTCTGCCCGAAACTCAGCTTCCAAGATTAATCTTCTCACCCTGCCGATCTGACCTTGTTTGCCCTGCATCCTCAAATCCAGTCCTTTTTTTTCCATTTACTTCCATTTGTTTTCTGACTTTCAGAACTCGCTGTAACTGCCTCTCCCCACCCCTTTGCAACCTGTCCCAAGCTTCCTCCTGACTTCATCTCCCCTTTATTGCCTTTTGTGCCATCAGTGCCTAAGACAAGCATCCTTTGAATATTTACCCACTTCCTTTACAGTTCCTCCTTTTTAATTCCATCTATTGCGTGAAGCAAATTTTAGTCTTTAACACTTACTTCTGTGTTTGCTCCAATATGCCTGTACATTTAGACTGTAAGCCCTTCAGGACAGATTTCTATACTTGCTCAGTATAGCTTGCCTATTGTACAGCACCTGTACATTTCTAGAACTATACAACAGTTCAGATACCCATTCATTTCCAATTTTAATAAAGTCAGAAATAAATCCAGTTAAATATTCCCTACTCCCTTCCCTTCCCTTAAATTTGTGGCTCCTTTGTGGGTTGGTTTTTTTTTTTTTTTGGTTTATTTTCTTAGCAAAGCCCATTGTTTCAGTTTTCACATCCTGTGATGTAGAGGTTTGGGCTACAGCACACATTTTGCTTCTCCTAAGATCTGTGCTTCCGTTCCCCTGCCTTTCCTAATACCATAGGTACCTGGATCATTTGGACAATGATGAATTTCAGAAAGCCATCCAGGAACTCCAGTTAACAAAGAGTATCTGGACTATTGACCTGGCCTACCTAATGCGGCACTTCGGTGTTAAGCATAAATTTTGCACCCAGACGCTTGGAGTGGACAAGGGCTACAAAAATCAGGTTAGTATTCTTATCTAGTGGGAGGCAGCAGACAGTTTTAAATGCCCTGTGTGTCACGCTGTAAAAGCTCTGCTGTGTTACTGACGATTAACCACAGTTCCTGTAAACAAGGTTTGCCTGTTGCCAAAACTGGCACAAATCAGTTCCAAAGGCGAGGCTAGATACGATCCCGTATATTTTACATCTTTGATTCCATAATATGATTTTTTTAAAAAAATTTTCATGTAGTGCTCATAAAAGGTTTCAGCCTATTTGACAGCCTTGGAGACTGAAGCCCTCTATTTATCTACAGCACAGGTACAGCCTGGGCAGCAGCAGTGCTAGCTTCCACACTTTCCCCACCACCGTGCCTCAGCCTTGACCTGGAAGAACCACCTCTAGAGGTGAGAGGGGAACTCAGCCTCCGTGTCCATTGAAAGCTTGGCCTCTGCAAGATTGCCAACAAGGGGGCCAACGAGTGCCTACAGTGGCAGTGGCTTTTCTAATGCAAGCTCCTGCCCAGTACAAACCAGACCGGCTTCTTTCATGTAGGCAGCTGAATAGCCACTGGATGGAAATTGCAGTAACTGACCAGCAGTGAATTTGAACTTGTAATTTAGAGCAGAAATCTTTATCCTGTTACCAGTGAACTAAAGGAGAGATCTCTTATCCCTTAGCCAGATCTCCAACTTATACAGGCCCTTGCTAGCAGGGATTGTAAGTGGTGGATTACCTAAGGTAAACATTATTCCAGTTCGTAAATTCTGTTATCTCCACAGTCGTTTTACAGGAAGCACTTTGACACAGAAGAGAATCGAGTGAATCAGCTCTTTGCACAAGCCAAAGCCTGCAAGGTGCTGGTGGAGAAGTGGTAAGCTTATTGTTATCCTTCCTTTCTCTTGGGAGATTCTGTGGACCCTATGCTTTTCTTGGAGTCACCAAGATAAACTGGTAAAAGAGACTGAAATCAAGCCCTGAGCTTTTATTTTGTGAATTAGAGAGTCCTTCTACTGTATGTCTCAAAAAAAAAAAAAAAGTGGTCAAGAGTTAATAATGAAGTCTGAGGAAGAATAGTCGACACAGAATAAATTATTTGAAAATGCTGACAGTTGACAATTGTTTATGTTCTGAATTTGATTATCCATTAAGATTACCCAGTAGGGAGTGCCTACAGCACTCTAATTTGCCACTGTTGAAATTAAGGAGTGCTACATGGGCACATAACCCATTGTTCCCAGAGCTATACAAACATTGTAGCTCTCTGTTCCTAGACAGAAGCACAAAGAAAAAGCTAGCATATGAGCTTTTGTCAAGGGGAGGATGAAATAAGGAACCTCTATGAAAGAACTGCAAACTCACTCAGGAGAAAGGGAAAAAATGCAGAATTGTTTCACAACTGACAGTGATATTCTACACGGGGAATAACTAAGCATCTATGTTCAACTTGAGTTGCATTGCTTTTTATAGGGAAGCTGGATTTGGTTCTTTGCTGTTGAAGTGGGGTAAATGATTAGGAGTGAGCAAAGAAGAAGGTACAGGGCAACCACAACAGCGTTTGAATGCTGCAATGCAACTTTCGTTTAGCAAAACCGTTAAGTGTCCTTTTTAATATATACAGAGTCTGTATGGCATCATCTGCTTAACTAGAGCTGTGACAAGACAGAAGGAACAGTCAGTTCATCTTTAGCAATTTTAAGATTGTGGCCTTGATCAAGGCAGCGACAGAGGGCGTATCTACCTGTGCAGTACTGAGGCAGGGGCATCAAAGAGGAGAAGCAACACTGGAAAAGATTGAAAAGCACATGAATTCAATCAGGTAGTGAGCACAGCCCTGACAAATGGAACATACTCAAGGGATGAGCTTCTAAGACATATGGAATATACCATCTGCCTCAGTGATGCACAGCTTTTAACAGATAAGATTGCAGGTTATGTTTGGTTAATACTCATTCTCTGTAAGAGGTACTATAGAAATAAAGCCTCAAGAGCATCAGGTAGTTCAAAATTACAAATGGGAGAAAGATACTCCTGTGTGACAGAGACAAATTTGAGCATGTCTTAATTTGGTCAGTGATTATACAATCTTTAACTACTCAATTGATAAAGATTTTGTGCTTCAGTGATAAGCTTTTCTAAGAGCAGGAGAGGACACCTGACTTACTATTTTCCCACAACAGAAGTCTCTCAAGTTACGGAATGAGTCCCCAGCTTCTTTCATACTCTTCTCTGGGGCACCTGATACATTCTGAGATTACATCTGTATTACTTCAGAATCCAGAGCTGTTGCTCTGCACTTCAGTAGCAGCAATGAGATCAAAAGGCCTTGAATGACACAGGTTTTGTCAGGCTTTGTCTGTAGCAGAGCTTGCAGGGTTTAACAGCAAAAAGCTGTACCTGTGAAATAAAAATAACCATGCCAGCTGCATGTCGTAAGTATTGTCCATCATCATGCACTTAATTTTATACCAGTCTCTTTCCTAAAGTTGTTAATAAGCATGTCTGATTTTTTTCTGCAGCACAGTAACTGTTCAAGACATCCAAAACCACCTGTCCCAAGGTCATGTAGCCATTGTCCTAGTGAATGCAGTCCTGCTATTGTGTGATCTTTGCTCAAGTCCTGTCAAATACTGCTGCTTCCTCCCCATTGGACAGAAGTGCTTCTGCAGGAATCCCGACTACCAGGGCCATTTCATTGTGTTATGTGGCTACAACAAAGCCTCAGGGAGTATTTACTACAACAACCCTGCCTATGCTGACCGTGAGTAGTCTATTCCTTTTGGGTAGATTCTCAGCCACCACGTTACTAACATGACTGTAATACAGAGCCACAGCTGTACTTCCCCTAATTGCATACATCTACTTCAAGTATCACTAACCAATTTGTCAGAAGGGGTTTTGCCACACTAATTAATTGCTGCATTTCGTGCTGTGGTTTACTTGAGGCATTGAGATACACATTCTAGCAAACTTGTTTGGCTTTCAGATGGGTTAGTGAGAGATGCCAAACTGTTGTTCAGAATGTAACAGGACGGCCAATTTAGTGCCTATTTACAGCATCACTTCAGTGAGCACTGCCTTTGAGGTGACCTACCTGAGTAAAGCTGTAACCTAAGCTGATAGGTCTAGTCCCTATACTAGTTACTTTTCTTTGTAGAGGCTGCTAGACCAAGTATGAAAGACTTTCACAGCCAAATTCTTCTTAATTTTTACTAACACGTTGTTGCTCCTCAACAGGAACGTGCTGCACCAGCATCAGTAACTTTGAGGAAGCCAGGACAAGTTACGGCACTGATGAAGATATTCTGTTCATCTACACAGACAGCTGACATTCACACCTGGTCCTTTCATGTGCAGCCTGCATGGCAGCTGGCTGCTTGTCTCAGGACTCCCCCTGCAGAGAACTTGCTCCTGTATTGCAGCGGGATCTTAAACAAGGGAGGCTTTATAGACATTGATAGGACTATACTGCAATGCTGTCTTTACCTTTTTTTTTTTTTTCTTCATGATGATGTATCTGATTTTGCAATGTATGTCTCACTTTTTTTTTTTTCTTCTCATTTTCAACATTGCACATTTGACAGTAGTTTTAAAATACAGGCGCAGGGCCTGTTCACTTTGAGCTTATTTTCAAACTAAACACATGAGAAAACATAGCACCAAATTTATGAACTTTAACACTTGGTAGTACATGCATAGGTTTAGGTAAACAAAACCAGGGGAAAAAAGAATAAAAAATACCTGTTTCTCTCTCTGTCAAAACATCAGGGGCTGATCTTCACCCTAATTCTAGGGATTTGAGGTTCAGCAGGGTATTATGGAAGGAAAAAATATTAACTTAAACCGCTTTTAAATAACAAAGACCTTGCTGGCTCATCAATGTTGTCTATGTTGTAGAAATGAAACACATTTACTCAAGGGAACTTCCCAAATTCACTTTACACAGATTCAGCATATATGCCACTGCATTAGATTTTGAATCACAGTTATTGGTACTGTTCCCTTGTACTACAAACTCAATCTTGTTTGGCTAAATCCTCTAGGATTACTGCTCAGAGCTCTATATTGCCCTAAAAGTTTAAGTGAAGACATTTGATTTGTATCTACAAGTCTTCATTGCTCTTTGCAGAAACCTCTGAACATTATGCCACCCACATGTGCCAGTTTCAGCAGAATCCATTCTAAACATAAACTTTAAACTTATTAAGCAAATACAGAAAATCATCACCCATGCTAGTGGGATACATTTTCTTTGTAAATTGTAAATACCTGACAGTACATACTGTCTTGTAACTAAAATGCCGAATCATAATTTGAGCCAAATTTTGCTGTTAATTCAGTGACCTCCTAAGAAGAGCTGAAATCAATTAAGAAAATAGGGGATACAAACATCTATTTGCTACAAGTAAAAAGGCAGGAACTCAGATTTTCTAGCATGGATACTACATATACTGTCTTCAGACATTATCAAGTGAAATTGTTAGCAGCCCATTCATAACCTTTTCATGTATTACCTGGGTTTAATTACTTTGCTGAGGAGCACTGTAAAGTGTAGGAAATAGCCACCTATGTCAGATTCATTCATCACAATTTCCTACAAGTCTTGATCTCCAGTCCTGCCTCTGTTGAAGTGGGTAGAAGAATCAATGTTAACACTGATGTAAAGCTAGCAAAATTTTATTTTGCACTTAAGACAGAGATCCCACACTTTTGGCATGGTTTTAGGAGGACTGTTCAAGTTCTGGAACTGCAGGGAATAATAGTAAAAGGAAATTGTTATTTAGTGGTGGAAATAATAAATAGGAATCTACTTTCACGATGGTAAAAAATTTTTCTAAGAGAAAACATTTTCTTTTATCAGTTGCTGACTTACTGGAAAATACCTGAGAAGGGTTCAGTAGGTATGCTTAGTAGAATCAAGAGTGCTGCTTTGCACAAAGGCTAAAAAGACTAACAGACATTTAAAATGCAGTAGCCTTTAAAAAGTTCTGAACAAAATGGATGTGACAAGAAGTTTTCAGTGTATCAGATTTTGCCTATCACTGGGTGAAGTTGGAATACGTTCTGACACTTATACTTGCAAAATCAGTATGTGATTTTTGAGCAGTAGAACCAATACATGAGTGCCACCAGCAGAATCCCAGAAAAAAGGTACAAACCGTATTATAGATAAGGCCTTCTGACTCCTCCAAAGTCACCAGAAGGCTACTGATCTAGGAATTGTTATGTCCAAGTCCAAATTCACAATGTTTGATTTAGAGAGATGGTACTAGCTATGTTACTAATTAACAGGTATGTAAACTGCAGGTTGACGGAGTACTTTAACCCATGCATTTTCAGGTAGGTTGGTTGTTCAATACCATTAAACTGCCACAGGATTTATTTTAGAGCAGGCTTGGTTAGTTAAATAAAAACAATTCCTACAAAAGAGTTGTAATTGGCATTTAGACTCTTACTGGTTCAGTTATCCAAATGCAAACAACAAAGTTGTTTAAGCTAATACAGACAAAAGGAGAGCTCCAACATTGCAACAGGATCTCTTAGAGCTGTCAAATGGAAGATAGTTATGTGAGATGAAAACACAGGAAGAAGAAGCAGACAAGTGAAAAAACCAAGTATTTATATGACATAAAATCAGATTAAAAAGCTCACTGTGCAAGCATCCAGAACATCTGCATTTTCTGAAACTTTGTTTCCCATTACAATCTTGTCTATCAAAACATTCATTCCGAAAATGTTTGTCACTGTTTCCTTCATAATGTCAATAGCAAAGGAAGGGATATTTTACTTGCAGGGATTTTATACATAAATATATTTTTATTTGTAATTAAGCCATTCTCAATAAAGGTTTAAAGTCATAGATAACCCTGTAATAAATGGACTTGCTACATTATGTTAAATAGCCTATTATGGAAAAGTGTTGGAAAATCTTTAGAGGACATGATACATGCTTAACTGCAAATTATACAGCTGAAATTGTAATTTGGAAAAAAAAAAAATCTAAGTGTTCAAATATTTATTTCAGCTATAAATTCATTGTTGCTAGGCTGTAAATTGTATTCATTCTGCACTTCCTGAACACCTGCTGCATCACCTGAATCATACAAAACAAAATTTCAGTATATACTGAGAATAGCAAATGTATTGTTATCTATATTCAATACCGATTTTGTGTCCTCTGCAACCACTGAGTATCTACTGGAGTGCAGCTCCAGGGAAGTGGTTTTTGTTACCCGTTCTGATCCCTAATAGCATCTCCATGGTTTTCTGTTCACAATGAAAAGTATGCAGCTGCACCAGCCTTGCCTATGTTTTAGCTAGGGCTTCCATTTTTGCCTCACAACACAGTACTGAGCTGCTGAAGATACTAAAAGCATCTGTCTGCAGCTCTACTTTTGCACATCAAAGGAGCCCAGAGACACTGGTCCAACTGTGGTTGTAAAATGTAGTGTAAAGGGAAATAGAAGTCTTGTTTTACAGTACCCACAGATCTTCAAACAAGGACATGCCTGGGACATTACTGAGCTCTAACAGAACTGCATTAAATAGTTCGTAATTTAAAAAAAACATGAAATTAATTTATGCCTCCTTTCTCCCAAAATTATGCATTTGGGTAGAGGGTAAAATCCGTAAAGCAGAAGTAAATAGACATATAATGCAAAGCTTATGTAAAAATTTGTGTCCCTTGAACTCATCATCTCCATCAAACTATATCACAGTACACAGTACTGAATAAATTTAATCATTTTATATCAAAGTATTCCTACGGGATGTGTTTCTAGTAAGGAACGAAAGTTCGGACTCATTAGTGTTAATGACAAAAAAAAAAAAAAAACAAACACCCAAGAAGCCATTTTTCAATTATTTTACTTAGCACAGTTTTGAATTCTATTATTTAAAAGTTAGTTACAGGAAATTAAAATTACAATGTTAAAATAACAACTTGTGATCCACCATAAAGCTATCATCCAACAGTACTTTTTAATGTGTTATGTAACATTTGATTGTAATGAGATGCTTTTTTACTCTTTTATTATATTGGGTATAAAATAAGGCTGGATTGCTTCAGTGAGCTTGTCTGCATACATTTCATACCTACCAGTCATCTGGAAAAGAAAAATCAAAGCTTCAATTATTTCAGTGACCTATGAAAGTATTTCAGCAGAAAATATTTATATCCACCATTTTTTAAATGACGGTATATTATTTAATTGCCCCAAACAGTAAAATCATAATTTATTCAAAATGCCAGACCTCCAGTGCCTTAGCACAAGGATATACTTTTATAAAAGCATTGTGTTGCCTAAAACTATATTCTACCCAAAAAAGAGTAGAAGTGCCTTTCCACTCTAAAAAGTAAAACTATAAAATGAACACCTTCCTGATTTGCAGCTCTCCTTCATCGATAGTCATGTCTGTTGACTAATTACTTAAGGCTATTTTGGTTATCCTGGATAGCTGAAAGTTGAACGTGAAAAGTGGACTGACTCTCTTATGCATCAACAATGTTCATTTTTAGGTAAGTTATGACAAAGGCAAAGGGGTGTATCTGTCATTATGTCTTCATATTATGTCCTTAACAACTGATGAACCCTGCTGCCAGCAGTAAGTTTGCATATGTGCTACTGGTGGTATTTGGGTTGTTCTTATCCATTAATAATACAACATACTATCATTGCTTTGGGTGGTACAGTAAGCTGGGAGGCTGAAATATGGCCCTTTATGTAATGCCGTCATCCTCTCCTGAAGTGTAGTCTACAACACTGGCTCTGAGAGGGGTGAATTACTTCATTCTTGCCAGAGTGTAATGAGGACAATCTGTTTAACTATTTTGCTGCTGTAAGTTTAGCAAAGACATTCTACTTAACATCCTGTTCAAGCATCATTGAATGCAAATTGCAGATACCAGAGCAGGTTAAATAGGTTCCTACTTGATATCAAGGGTTTCCTGTGGTGGATAACCTATGACTTCATACTTCCTCATATCAAGAATCACCTCTGTCTTGGCCACAAATGAGAGGAAAAGGAAATAGATATACCCCACCACATAAACAAAAGCCACAGCTGTGCCTTATGTGCCAAAAGACCAACAATAGCAATCCATACCATCAGCATAAAACTAAGGTGCTGAAAGCACAAGACTTGAGGACAACAAAAAAATACAAAACAGCTAAACATCAGTGTTTTGCTTTTAGTGTCTGTTTTTCCTAATCAATACAATTGCTTTTGTTCAGATACCCCTACTAAGCTATTACAACCAATTCTCCATGTGCCTCCCGACACACTAAATCTCTACTCTGCAATAAGGGCCTCAGATTTCAGTGGCAAAGCAAAACTAAATGCCTGTCTGACTTAAACCTGAAAATCTCTGAGCACAATTTAATTCCACTATGCCAACAACAATATACCTACCTGATGCATCTGTAAAATAACATTCGATGCTGTCCAGAAGATGATCTGAAATTACTTTTTGTCTTTAGTTCATATATATAGATTGGGAGCACTAACAAAGAAATTCAACTCAAGCTAAGAAATTACTATGTCTAATTAGTTTACTTAGCATTTCAAATCCACAGAAAATTTATATTTTTACATCAGATTAAAATCTAAACACATTATATATTGCACTATGTTGTAATGCACAAGGTGGTTCCAAACAAACCAGCTCAATAAAATAAACATCTGCTTGCCGTAACATTATGTGCAAAACCTGACACTTCCTGCAAATTACTACTTATTTTAAATACTACATTATTACTGAAGAACCTACATATATTGTGATGGTTGCTAGCCAGGAGTTCTGGTCTACTTTGTTAGGATTCAAATCATGCTGATCTTAAGAGTGGATAGGAAAAAATTCTACTCTCTAGAAATACTCAGGACTAGAATAAAATATCTAACTCCACAGAAGTAAGCAAGATGTTTTCTTCATCAACAAAGCCTGTTTAAGAAGCTGCCACCTCTTCTCTTTTTGCTTGCCTTGTCTGTTGTTTGAACAGAATATTTGTGAGGCCTGCTGTAAACCTGATCAGATTAAAAGAAGAAACTAGAATGCCGTTTGTTTCCTTGTTTGTTTAAAAAACCCCAAAATCTGGTCACTCCACTGAACCAGTATACAACATAGCAGCCCGCATAACTTGTACTGGCACAACTGAAGGGCTGGCAAACTGCCGTGCTGAGGTGACAATTTCTTAAACCAACACTGCTGCTAGACAAATTAAATCAAATGACACATTCATGAAAGATGATCCAAATTAGTTTTATCTCAGAAAAAAAACCGTAATATATGAGTTTGTTAAAATCCTGTGGAAAGGCTTGCAGCCATCTTAATCTGACTCAGATAAATTCAAAAGTGTGTTAGTATGCTTCAGAGATGAACGTACACAGTATTTCTCTGTGGCTTCAACATGTCCACAAATTTAGGGAGTTAAGACTGCAAGAAGTTTGAATTCAGAAAGTTCTCTGATGTTTACAGATTCTTGTGGTTTTGGGTTTTACACTAAAACTGACATGTAAGGCCTATAAGAATATAAAGAACTACCATATTAGGTCAGAACAAAGGCCCATCTACCCAGTGACAAATGCCTACATACCCTGCGTAAGGAAACCACACACACTTTCCCTAGCAGTCCTTGGAGCTCCTGAAAATCCACACTTAAGGATCAAAGGCTAAGTTTTTCATTTGAAAGCTACTGGCCTAGTTTCCTTGAATTTGGCTACTCCTTTTTGGAATCCATTTATGCCTTTGGCCTCCAGAATACCCTGTTAAGTTAGTTCAACGATTTAAGCTCTGGACTGTTAAAAAAACCCAACAAGGCTGCCTTTTAACTACTGTCAGATTATAAAATAACTATGAAAGCTTGTTTGTTCTAATATCGTGTGTAAGTTTGTTTCTTTATAACAGGCTTACCTTAAAATTCCATTTGTCACTGACTTGCCTGCAAAGATTCAGATCCATCTCTACCACGAGAAGTCCATCCTGAGTGCGAGAGAGTCCTGGGGTCCTACTGCCATCTGGTGCAGCTACATAACTTGAGCCATAAAAATGGCCCAAGTCATGGTGTGCTTAAAGAAATTTTTAAAAAGCATGTAACACCATCTGCAAACAAGTATACAACTTAACATGCAGTGTACCATAAAGCCTGGCTCAATTTCTTGTGGTTGCCCACTCACTGTGCTTTAAGCAAGATATCATCCTAAAGAGTCACAGCACGATCCTAAGGTAACTGCAGTTTTGACCAATAGTTACTTTCATGCACAGCACAGCTTCCGCATGTATCGAATTAAGAGGAAAAAAACCTCAGAGCATTACCTTTTAAATAATGCATGATTATGCTTTCCCATTATTAAGTCTCTGAAATAAAGGCTTTGCTTTCATTGTTTTTTATTTAGAATTTAGATTAATTCTAATTGTCAAATCATACATTTCCAAAACAGATGACAGAGATGCACCCATTCAATTTTCAATACAAGGTCAGAGATGAAAATGCCAGGATTTGAGGCACGGAAAAAATCTTACTTCATATCGCACAACTCTCAGTTGTGCCAAAAATCAGCCCTGTCTGTTGTACTACTAAGCAATGGATACCATTGACCTTTTTTATGCAGCTGCTATAAATAATTAGCTCCAAAACTAGCTAAAAAAAGGCTCAGGCCTAATCCAGATGAAGCCAGCACCAGTCATGGTTGTCACAGGACAAGTTACAGTTTTGCAACATACAAGTGAAGTACAAAAAAGCAAATCTCATGCTCTTCTTTGAGCATTCTCTTCTTTAACTTCCAGCAAATCTGTGAAACAGGACAAAATGGCTTGGCTGGAGATTCAGGCTAGGGCCATTACTGTTAATAGTCTTAGAACTACAAATAAAACGTCACACATGCACTGACAACACGGCTATTTGTGCGATTTCTGTCCTCTAGTCCTACAATATCGCAGTGACCCCAAAACTCTTAGTCCTCTGAAGGTATATAGAAACCTTAGGTATGACCTTCTGGTGATCACATAACGTGGTACCACCAACTTTCATAGGAAGTGCTTCTTCTCTCCAACTTATAAATCAGCAGTTTTAAGTAAGGCAGTCTCTAGCCACTAGAACTGTCATGGGATAGACACTTGCAGGACAGCTATCGTTACTTCAGACTGTCTAGTTAACAATTATTAGCAACTACTGAATGTGATTTTTGAACATACCTTCTCCACCATCTCCAGAAGTAAAGGCATTTTTGTAGTATTCCTGTGAAATAAAAAGAATCTGTAGGTGGCAGTGTAATACCATTTCAGTCAAGAAATCCTTGCTAGTCTACCATATTTAGTATGGAAGTTTATATAAATCTATTAGGATTTTTTTTTATGGCATACTATCAGCACTGTCTAGAGAGAGTAACCAGAGGAGCCTAGTTCCTATGATGGATGGGCTAGAAAACAAGATCTTTCTGTATCACTGCCTGTTGTTCATATGCTTTGGGGAACATGCCTCTTACCAGTTTCACAAGCCTAAAGAGGATGCAAAGGAGGAGACATTTAACCAAACACACTTTTGCAGATCACAAAAGGAGGAAAATGTATCCACCTAACAGCAAGAACAAGTCTGGATTTTTGAAGTGAACTTTATAAAACAGCACACATGTAGGGTATTTGGACTAATCTGAAGGCAAGAACAACCTATTGTGTGCAATATTAATCTTCATTATAGAATTTCAGTGTCCAGAAAGAGGTAGTATCTGTATAACAGCAACCAGTTGTGCACCACTGATTTGACGATATTTCATTTTCAGTCATTTTGGCTGAAAGAATACTGATTTCACCATAGAAACTAGGAGAATTAGCAAAAGGGCGGGTGCTTATTACAAAGACAGCAATTCAAGAACAGGAAGCAGCTGCAACCAAAAAGCAGGCTGCCAGCAACAACGCAGCTCTCGATCTCTTTATCACTGTCCATCTTTAAATCATACTATAAACACTAATACAACAGTTATACAGTAGAGGAATCTATGCATTCTACTGCTATTCAGTTCATTCCCTTGAATTAACTCATGTTATAATACCCAAGTTATGAAATTAAGTAACGAAGTGGAGATACATACCGTTCCTACCCTGTTGATGGGACACGTAAAGCAGTGATTAGCTATGGCAGCATTTCTTGCTTCAATTGGCCACAGTGACTCGCTGCAGTACACAAAAGGGGAGGCAGGTATTCACTACTTACCTACTTCAGAGTTAAATTTAGATTATAACTGTCTCACACTGTACATTTGCTGTCAAAGAAGCCAAAGTTAGCTGCTAAGACTGATCTTGCTCTTACCATCAAAATCTCCCCACAGATTCAGCCAAGCACTATAATTATTTTCTCCTCAAATATAGGTATAGACAATTCTATCTGGTAACCTGGTAAATATGGCTTTGTCAAGGAAAAAAAAAAAACAAACAAACAAACAAACAAAAAAAAACCCAACCCCCAAAAAAGTAACACATCTCAAGATTTTCAAAGCATTTAAAATGTAAAATGTTTTATTCCCCAAATTACGCAAAGGATTTACACATGTGCTTTCATATTCCATGAACTTTCAATATACTAAACATCATTCTGCATCAAAGCTGTAAGAGATTCATACAAGATGCCTCCTTTTTTCCCCAAAATGGTTCAGGAAAAGCTTTTGCAGCAGTGGATGAAAAAAAATTAATTATGGTAATAATAAAAAAATAAAGGAAAAGCAAAATCCATTTCCACCCAAACTTTCTACTTCTGTTATTTCAACCACAGTTTTCATAACACTTTCCACTAAAACATTTTTCCATGGTGGGCTGATGAAAAGGAAAACATGTTTAACAAAAGCATCCCAACAACTTCCCAGTAATTATCTATTAAACCAGTCACTAAATTTACATAAAACCAAGAACTGAGAAATAAGGCATGAAAAATTCCTTCTCTTTTGCAAGCCTCTACCTCTTTTCCAAAGGAGATTTCTATTATGACTGATGTTTAAAACTGAAATACTTTTCCTTTTATTATGCAATTTAATACACAAGGATCAGACTAGTTAATAGGTCTGGAAGTACTCAGAGCACCAAAACAAAGGTGATACAGCCTGGCCACTCCTGTGACAGCATGTACCTCCCAGATTCTGAGTACCAAGACAAGGTTGCAAGCATCAGATTCATTAATGTCCCAGTCAGACTCAAGAATCTTAAGAGGTAATCACTGGACTGATTGAAAGGACTAAGTCTATTGCCTCTTTTCTCAATTGCTTTGAGTCTGGCAGCCAGCTCTTCTAAGAAAAAGGCATTTTATTGAAAAGCTCCAGAAAATTATAATTTCACAGAAGAAGAGACACAGGAAAAAAAGGCTACTGCCAAGAAGTGACCCCAGAGACAGTTTTTACATGGGCCTCAAGAGTACTCCTTCTGCAATAAAAAATTATATGCTTAAAAACAATCAAGTGAAAGCTAATAATTAGGAGAGCCTGAAGCACCCAAAGTACCAGTGAAGTCCTTTATGACAACAGGGTAATTTCTGTTTGCCTTCCTGTTAATGGGCTGTAAGTGGACAAACATCACAAATATTATTCTAGTAACATAAATGCCCCAAAAGCATTGTGTATTCATTCAACTCTTTTCAAGGGACATTTTCCAACATTACTCAACCTAAATTATCTTTTTACCAAAAACTATTCAAGGCAGTTTGAATGACAGAATACTGCAACTAACATACAGTTCTACTCTCCAGATGTGTAAATACATGGTTCTATGCATCTGAACTGGCTGTGGGTATGAAATTTTAATCTCTTTTTCACCATTTCTACCCTACTATGAATGCTCAATGTCCTCAGAAGCTGGTCAGCAATAAAAATGGGATGAATATTCTTGGACCTTGTTACAGAGATGGAAAAACACTAAGTTTACATTAAGCAGGTAAAGAGGGATTGGGTGAATCCTGAAGAAATAGAAAATGCTAAAAAATACATTCCTTGTACATTTCTAGCTTTTCTACCATCTTGTATACCCAGTTAGCAAGTCTATATTGCCTGAACATTTAATACATTAAGTTTTGGAAAACTGACACTGCAAAAATCTCTTCCTCTAGGTTTAAAGAAATAAAAATTATAGTATTGTGCAATTAGTCCATGCACACAAGCCCAGCTGAAAGGAGAGAAAAGAATTTTTAGTATTATGAGATCAGTATATATTCTTTTTTTGTTTGCTACTGGACATTATACTTGTATTACAATATCATCAGTAACAATGAAATAGTTCCTATTAACTTCCTAAAACTTATCTTTGGAGCTGAAAACTCAAAGACAGTTCAGCTAGCCCTAAATTTGTTTTTTTTTTTTTTAATTCACAAAGGGGATGTTTTTGTTCCAAATAACTCTGCAAAGCCAGACCTTCCACTCTGCCCTGTACAAAAGTAACCACTTACGCCGCAAATGGTTAAAAATATTAATGTTTATAATTAAGCCTAAACTACCATCATTTCCTCAGTCATATGTATGTAACCATATAATACTAAATTACTTTTCAGAGTCTGTTATCAGAAAAAAAAAAAAAAAAAAAACAAACAAAAACCAAACAAACAAAAAAGAAAAAGCACAGTTGTTCTATCATGTGTTAAACTGATGTGTAGACACATTCTGGAATCCCACACCTCAATTTACAAATAGCCTAATTTGGAATTTGAATGTATTGAGTAGTATAGCAAAGAACAGAATCCAATGAGAATGAAAGGAAGCCATGGCAATTTTGTCAAGAAGAGTGGTATAACGAACCACTGAAACAATTTCTACAAGGTTTCTACCTAAAGAAAGCCCACCCACCAGCCCCAAAGAAATGCAGTTATTTTGCATCACATTATAGTATCCCAAGCAATACACAGCCTGTGTCAGACTATGCTCTGGAAGCATGGTACATTCAAAGGTTTTTATACTGAAATGTGACTGATGCTGATACGGTAGAGGCAAAGAATATTCAAGATCTAATCCACAAATTAATCATTATGGGCTAGCTAAGAAATGTATTTTCTTAGCTCACTGAGCTTTTTTTTTTTTTCTTTTAGGATATCAAGTCAGTAGGGTGCAATTAATGTCAATCTGCAGAAGATTAATCTCAAGGGAAATAGTTTACACTAGTTTAGTCTGGTTCAAGAGGCCTGATAATCACAAAATTGCCAACAGTTTTTAAAAAAAAAAGTTTCTGAGAAAACAGTTTCTCAGCTTAGCTCTGAAAACTGCAATTTGATACCATACTTACTGGCTCCTAGGTGATGATGCAAGCTGGCAAGCTAAGCCTGAATGTAAATTACTACAGCCTATCATAAAGCAAAAATATTACAGAGATAATCTAAATAAACTCTAATTAGTTTTCAGAACACCAGCTGGATGCTGGTTAACTCTGAGAGTCAAAAGACCTGTAGATCTACAACTGAAATTCTGGAAGAGAATTAGTGACTGTGAGCAGATCAACAGCCCAGAACTCCAGGTGAAGAATGCAGATTCCTACATGAAGGCAAAACAAGGAGGCGATACCTCAGGTTCCAAGACCTCATCAAGGTGCCCCTGAGGCCCCAGCGAGGAGCTCAGAGATTCAGTTAACCCAGAAAGTGTACAACAGCCTAAATCAGTTTGTATTTTTTACCTGAGCTTTCCAATAGTGGCTGAAGGGTTAAAGATGATCTCTGCTCCATTCATACTAAACATGAGCCAGTTAAGAGGGTGATGGCGCCCATAGCAGATATTCACAGCAATTGTTCCAAACTGTGTCTGAAACACTGGGTGTCCTGTATTTCCTTCCATATAGTAAGTAGACTACAAACAAACAAAAAGCCAAATGCAGATATCTTAAAAATGAGAAATACCTCCAACATTGCTTTGACACATCCCCATTTCTGTTTACCAGCTTCAAGTCATTAAACCATGAGCAATGACAACATCTTTCATTTAGTACACAGCTGCACTGTTATAGAGCAAAAGGTGGCTCTCTTAGGCTGCTGGGTTCGAATTCAAGCCCCTTTCTGTTTCCCTTCACTCATACTACACCTAAGCACTGTCTGACTTTGACATAAACCCTTCTATTAATGCTAAAAACTTCTACAGAAGCTTAAGAGAGATCCACAAATTGCCAAACTTCAGGCACCTCTCTTAGTACTTTTACCACACAAGAGAATTTTCCTAAGTCATTACAATCCTTTGGTTCTGATTAAAGAGAGATGATGAACACTGTTTAAAGAACACGGAATTTCTTTACACTCACTTGTTATGTAATGACATGCAGAAATTCTATTAATACTATAAGGAAATATCAGTGTATAGCTAAGACTGGTTATTTAAATTCCCTATATGCCTATTGCTCTAAACAAACACAAGGCTTGAAACTACCACCAGGAAAATCACAGGATAAATCTAGAGAACGCTCCTTAAAGAAACTGGAGCCAACCGTTGGCTTAAAAGATCTCATTTACCATATGCTGCGAACTTTCATCTTATCATATCAAACATTTCTAAACAATTGGAAATGCACTGGTTCCTGTAACAGGCACTAGTAAAGAGAATGATAGGGCATTGTTAACAGCTATCGAGAGACAAACATTCAGAAAGATATTCTAAATGAAATGTACAGAAGTGGTTCTTCCCAGATACAAAGAAAAGGTATGTGTGGAGTCACTGACAGTTGCCTGGTTAGTGCTCAGTGGTAGTCAAAAACTCAAGAAAATCTCAGACATCAACAGGAAGGGTATTGAAATGTAACAGAAAACATAGTTTTGCTGGTTTGTAAGAATTCTGTGTGCCCATGACTTGAGTACTCTAGGCAACCCTAGTCCCAGTAAGGATATACTAGAGATGGAATAAGCAAAGGCAACTGAAATGATTAAGGGGACAGTGCAGATCCCTTGTAAGAAGCAACTAAAAAAGCTCTTCAACCTGCAGACAGAAGGCTGAGGGTGATGATATGAATGAGATTTACAAAATCACAAAGACAGTGAATAAGATGAATACAGAAAGCCCAAAGCAGCAGCAGTAGTGGGTATTGACTGAAATTACACTCTTGTACCTGTTTTCAACCAAAGCAACTTTTTTTTTCATGGAGCAGGCAGTGTACTTCTGATATCTGCTTCTTTGTGAAAGCAAGTATTATCACCAGGTTCAGAAGGGATTAGACAAATTGATAAAAGAACCACAGGTAAGAAATAAAATAGACAGGAAGAAGCCACCCAACATCTCTAATACAATGACTGTGGATACCATGAGAGCACAGAGGTTGCAGAGTGGCCAGCCTCATTCCTATCTTCTTGTGATGATCAAGAGACAGAAAAGCAAGGTACATAATCCACCCGCCTGACTCAATGAGGCATGTCCCTTACCACATAAGAAAGGTGTGCTGTAAAACAATTCCCTTTTTATTGAAACTATCTGTCCATTGCAACAACCACTGCCATTGGTCTTGAAGGAAGCAGAACCACATCAGGCCTAATGCAAGCACAGTTACAGCAGGGGAACAAATTAGGGCCTCATGTAAGTGTAGGAGAATGGCATGATAGATGTAGGGAGATCATCTTCTGAAACCAGGGACTAGAGGTTCACTATGCACAGTAAAAGTGGCATCTCATGTTTCTTATTTATTACCAGGTCTCATAAAACTGCACAGTCCCTTGGGCACTGATTCTATCCCCTTTCATGTCTGTAGAGAGCACACCATGTGGTGGGCACTCATACAATCCTTTTTCAAAACAATTCCGTTGATTGAATATATTTCCATTTTTTCTTCTATTCTCAGTTTTCTTTTATTACAATAGGAGAAGAAAAACAAGAATGCTGTTGCTTCAGGGAATTCATCAGTTCTTATTTCTTTACTCCTCACCAGAGGTCACAATCATCTCCACAGCAACAAACTGTGATGTCTCAAGAAGGATTGATTTTTGTTTATTTATATGCCCTCCCACACATGGCTGAATGTTACAGACCAATCTCTTTCCCCTTTCCATTTAGTTCTCACTGATTCAACAAGGATGATTTTAACAAGGCTCCTTTCCCTATTTGTCCTACAGAGACTATCCACAAAAAAGTAATTTAAAATTCAACGCTTCCTTGGGGGTTAACTTTGTTGATAAAGAAAACAACATTAAAGTAACGGAGATTAGCATAATCCTTCCCTGTAGTCTTGGTGGTTTCTAAAGTTCCTCTATCAGAATTGCTCAGCTCAGAAGAATGGACTTAATGCTCTGCTAAGAAAACTTGCTAAAAAGAGAGTGCTGTTTTGGGTAAACACTACTTGCTTCTATAATGAGGTGGATGCAACAAGAAATGTCAAATCATTACAGTATACCTCCAAGACAGAAATAGATTGTTTTGTGATAATTCTGGCATTTAGGATTATAAGAACTAACTCATTTTAGGAATTATGCAAAACTCTTAATAGAACTATTTATACATCACTTGGAAAAGTAAAAATATTTCCTTTTTTTAGATGCCTTTCATTACAGTTTCAAAGCTGGAAACAAGAAGTTTCTTGGAATCTGTTGATGCTCCACAAAAAACTGTCTGGAAAGCTGAAAGACATAATATTTTAGCACAAGCAACAAGAATTTATTTTTTGTTTGACTACACAAGACACAAATCAAGAATATGGAAAGTAACCAAAATTCATTTTTATTAGTATATTTTATACGGGTTTGTTAGTTACTGTTTTGATAGCTAAAAGACATATCCAATAAAATAATATTAAATATCAAAATAATCGTTAAAGATAGACGTCAACACTGGTGACTGACAGGCCTGTGCCAGAAAACCATTGTGTAGAAACCTATTAATAGCCACCTCTGAAGAAACGCAAACCAGTCTGATCAGGTCTGGGAGCCCAGGTCAAAACTTCCAGAAGTCTTTGAACACAAGGTTTCAAGACACAAAAAAATTTCTAAAATTCATAAAAAAGCAGTTTCAATTCTGAAACCTCAGTTTAGTGACTGGAACATTCAGACAGGGAACAAAGGAACTGCAGGTATATAGCAGCCCCCAGTGCTTAGAAGAAACACCTCTTAATTACTCACTTCAGCTGACGAGGAGAGATTTAGCTAGGTAAGACAATGTATTTTTAGACTTTGGTTAATTTTTAATCTTGATCTTTCTGCCTGTGATAATTTTATGGATGGATAAACACATTTTACATCTACCAGTTTTCTTCTGGCCTTGCCTTTACTACCAGTTCAGTTTCTGAACCTGATTCTGGAGGACGGCCTAAAAACTGCTGGGGGGCTCCAGTGGAAGTAATGTGATTAGTAAACAGAAGATGCTGTAAACCAGCTATTCAGTCATAAGTATAATGAATTAAGGGATTCTGCTCAAAGAAACTTAAGAACTGTCATTTCCAAGACAGTCTCACAGAGAAACAGAGATCAAACCCATAAATAATGCTTACACCTGAACCATGAAACAATTGCCCTCCAAATTAAAATAAGTTCAGCATGCACACATGCAAAAACTAAGCCAGTCATGCAAAACTAACATAACAAAGCTGTGACTTAAAGAATTTTGTTTTAAAGATCCTCGATACTTTTGTAGTTTCCATCAGGCAAAGAATACATGACAAAGACTCAATGTTATTTGCCATTTAAGAGTCATCACCCTCTATTCTTGATAAACTAATTTACTATAATTCCACCTGAGAAAAACTGATTTGATGCTTAATGAACCACATTTTCTAGAAAAACATTACATTTCCTGCCAATGCAACTCTGATATAATATATGCTGACATGAACAAGAGCTGCAAGGTAAGACTAGCTTGATAATCACAATACTGCATCTTACCTCATTGAAATCTCCAACCCTTGGAATGTGATTTTTCCTACTTTTGCCAAGGACAGTTCCAGAATTAGAAATGACCACTGCAGCATTCCACAGAGTTCCTCCATGTATTTCATCTCGCTCCAAGATTGGAGATACCACAACCATATTGTATTTCCTTGCCAGCTATAAAAATGAACACAATTCTTCTATTACACACAAGCCTACAGTAATTATTTTCACTTTTTGTTCATAAAGAAGGATTAAAAAAAGTTTTCATCTCATGCATTACTTGACTGTTATCAAGGGCTACTGCTTAACCCACACTGGCATGCCAACACCACCACAGTTTCTTCATCAAAGATGGATATATCAGAGAGCTTTCCACCTGAATAAAAGGAGATAGATCCCATCCCATTCTACACACCTAGCTGAAAACGATTAAACAAAAAAAAAAAAGGAAACAAAGTATTCTGATTTCCAGTTTACTAGCACATTGTCTTTTCCTTCAAATCACTTCTCATTCTTTTACGTCTCCAAACTTCCTGCATGTCATTCATTCCATAGTGAGAAGCAACACTTACTTGCCCGACAACAGACTAAAGATATTATGTTGTCTACAAAAACTTAATAGGTCAGTGCATATCCGGGCAAATTTTACATCAAAATAGACTTTTGTTGTTTCAATCACTTGTAAAAGAAAATAACTGAAATTCCTTATTTTAAAAAAAATGTTGTCAGAAAGCAAAAACAACTCTGCCACCCTTGCAATCAACAGTCTCTGGAAAAATCAGAGCCAGACAATAACAAATCCCCTTGGGTCCACATAAAGCCCCCTACATTTTGTATCATTTCACAGAGAGATGCAAAAGATTTGTGTAAGTGTTCCCTGTTCAGAAAAAGCTGCCTATTCTTCTCACACCTTCATACAAGCATGGTTTAATGCTCAACTGTTCTAGGCAAGAAAAAACATTGAAATGGAACTGAAAATATTGGTATGAAGATTCATTCCTCCCTTGTAAAATTCAAGAAAAGTTAAATGGGCAGTTTCATATGCCTTCCACGGTAAAAGGTAGTCTGTAAATGCAAAGTAGTTTAAAAAATATTGAGCACAGTTGTTGTTATCCATTTCTACTTCACTCACTATCATAGTATTTGTCAAGCAAGTTGAAAATTTATTATTATTTCAATTTTCTCCATGGTACAAGACTGATACATACAGAAGAAATCCATGCTAATCAGTGGCAGTTATGGGCTGAGCTTGGAGGCTGGATGTGGGATTTTTTTTTTTTCTTGGTTGGTTTTTTACCTCTTGACAGAATTTTGTTGTTGGTCCATTCTCTGCTGACTCAGCAAATTCAGTCCAAGGAAGTTTCTCTCTTGTACAAAAAGCAAAGGGCATGGCTGGAAAACACCAATGCAAGACCAAATTTACAAGAATATTCATGTCACTCAAGAAATACACACTGTTTGCCTGACTACCAATAAAAAATTAAACACTGAAGAATGATTCAACTGTTTTCCTTTGAAAAGCTATTTAAAAATATTTTTAGTAAGGGCAACGAGTTTTGGACCTACACAGAGCAAAACAGAAGAGAAAGAATGCACTTAGTGAAGTCTTACCAGAGGTAAAAATACAAAATACACCCCAGTCATTAATGTACGCTTTCTGTGAGTCACTTGCTTTCAGAAACATTTCACAGACCTTTATTTTGGTTTTTGCCTTTATTAAGCCTCAAAGACTCCAACTTAATTAAAATTAGATTTTTAAATTTTAATACCTGTATAGAAAAAACAAAGTCTTAGGAGAAAAAAAATTGAGGAAAGGATCACAAAGGATGACACAAAGAAGCATGCCTACAAATGCCACTGTTGCAGCATATACCAGTCTTCAATGTAACAGACTTCACATACATCTTCCACCCAGTTCTGCTAACTAAGACTCCCTGCTTTTTCCTTTAGAAAGCAAGTCAGTAAAGTCAACTGCTGTATCTTGGAAGATCTCTGATGTTTACTTACAAGACATACTTCTAGTGAAGGATACCTGTTAAAATAGAAAGAACTTGACCTCCGACAACCTAGAAGAAAATACTCACTCCAAGCCTCCTGGAAACAAACTATATTGACTCCACATATTGCTGCTACTTCCACAATCTCCTCAATTCGTCTGTGCAGTGCAGCCACCTGATTGCAAGAAGTGTCACACTATAAATAAAGCTGGACATTGTAACTCACTTGTATATTAACAGCCTGGTTTTACAAACCTTGTTTACATTAAATTTATCTTGTTCTATACTTAGTCCTATTGCTTTCAGGGGAAATGACTCAAGAAGTTATCATTCCTGAACACTGATACTAGAAAGATTTAGATTTTTAAAAGCATTTAGATGCTGAAAATAGAGAAAGCAATCCAACGGAATTCTAAATCCACGGTTACAACATTTAAATATATGAGAACTAATTGCTGACGGATTTGCAAATAGCTAAAAATCTTAACAGAATCTACAAAGATTATAATTTTGCTACTCATTGTAAACAGCCTACAGAATAATGTTAAGTAAATGTGAAGTCAAAGTCAAGTACTCGGAATCTTAAAGCAAGAGGTAATGACAGTCTATTTCCTTGGTTATCTCCAAATCTTGCTCACACATGTGAATTTTGGACACTCTCCAAACTATTTTCTAAATTCCTCTGTCCTAAGAGCTAAGTAGATTATTACCAAGAAAAAGCAAAAACCATCAAGGCATTTATCAATTAGTCAAAAACCCATAGTTTCAAAGTACTTTTTTCTTGAGTATTTTACTTAATGGTAAGCACAGGTGTAGCACTTTGCATTGATACTTTAAGGTGTTAATAACAACAAAAAAAAAAATGCAAGACAAATCAACAGTGACCTACGAACTCAACAACTGTACACTGATTTACAGAAATAGTTAACTAGTTATTTATAAGATAAAATCATTAATATAACCAGTAGCATTTTCAACAGATGCTACAAAGAACCCACAAACATGAGCCATTTTCTGAATTCATTACCTGCATGTGTGACAGGTAATCTTTCCAAAACCAATTTCTTCAGAAGTGTTCTGTCTTGTCACTGTATAAACTACTATTCCATGAGATTTTATAAATGTGGTATTTTCTTTCACTTTTTAAATGCTACTTTTAGGAGGCTATTTCTATACATGTGTCAACCTCTGCTTTTGTGTTCATGATGTTAAGAGATGATGGTTACCTTGTAACAACATTTCATTTACTGCTGTACAAAGAATAATGAACACAGCTTTGTTTACTCTAATGGATTTTCCTATAATGGAACATTTCTCAATTAAAAACAAGAACTGCACCTCTGGTTTTGTGGTTTCCATGGGTTGCCATCTCTTATGACTTCAGGTAAATGATTTTCTGTTTCATTTCGGAGGCAAATGATTTTTATATACAGAATCAGTGACTAAATATTTAGCTTTCAAAAAAATGCAAACTGGTTGGGCAATTCACCAGGTAAACACAACACAAGACATGTTTCTGAGAAACAATAAAACTGAATGTGTCATTTGAATTTCTTACAGTACACTGTATAAAGATAGTGATAGGTCCTATATTGCCAGACAATGGGCAGATGTTTCATGGAGTTTCTAACATCAACAACTGAACTGTGTTATTTCTCAATCCAGTAGAAGAGGCATTACACACAAATGGCCCAGATCCCAGCTTCTGTACCTGGACTGCCACTGCTGTGTCTGTGGGAAGTGGAATTTTATTCTGTACCAGTCCCACTCGAACAATACGTGGCCTTCTCAATTGCTCTGGAGCAGCTTCAAATCCATAGCCCTTTAGCTCAAAATGTCTTTCCTCAGCCGCTGATAGAGCAGCAGCTGGCAAATTAAGTTGTCTAGATTGAACAGGAAACAAAGACGTTTCAAGATGAGATGTTCTCCTTTTCTGTTCTGAATGCAATGGACCAAAAGGCTCACAAACATCATCTACCCCTGCAGACACTCCCTGCTCCCATGCCCCAATACGCACCTATTGGACAAAGGAACAGTCAGACAGTAACCAGGTCACTTGAAAATCTTGCTGCTCTTCTCCATGGCAGCAAACTCCCAATGTTCTCCTCTATAATTGTGATTTCCAGACACTAATACCTTGCTACAGAAATCAAGGAGCAGACACGCACAAACTTTTATCTGCCACCCCCAAATTATCAGCCCTTTCCCTCCAATGTGGTTTTCCCTGTTAGAGCCCAAGTTGTTCAGCTCCCTTAACCCCGAAGCCACAACCTCCCCAAGCCCCCTGCTCAAAACTATTCCCCTCACATCTTTCCTTTCAGTCAGCCATCTTCTCACACGACCTTTACCTCCCTGCTTCCCAAACTTGGATTACCTCCAAACTACCCCAGTTATCTCACCACAGCCTAACCTCACCGCAGTACCACAAACACCACATCACCCACCCTTCCTTTTCCTTTCAGCCCAGCCCTGCATCGTGCGCACCCATCCTCAAACTGCCCGCGCTGGCCATCCCCGCGCAGCCCAAGGAGGGAGACGGGAGGGGACACGACCTCCTCCCTCGACGGGGGAAGAGGGAGGCGACCCCGTCGTGGCAGCGCACCTTGCCTCGCCCCCGTAGAGGATCCGCTTCACCTCGGCGAGGTGCTCGGGCGGGACGTGCTCCTCCAAGCACGACTCCAGCGACTCCAGCATCCCCGCCATGGCGCTGCCCGCGACGGGACGAAGCGCTCAGGCCGTTGGGCACGCGCGCGGCCCCGCGCACTTTACCCCCGCCCGGCCACGCCCCCTTCGCCTCAGGGGTTTTGGCGGGCGCGGAAGCCCGCGGGGCTGTGGTGTCTGCAGGGACGTGAGTCTCCGTTTTGGTTGCAGAAACACTCTGAACAGAAGCCAGGAATAAAAAATAGTTTTGTCTTTAACATAGATTTGAGGCTCAATATAATTGGGAATTCACCCCAAAACCAAAGTTAATGTCAGACAAAGGGTTGAACAAATTAAGACTTTGATCCGCGACAAAACAAAAAAAGTGCATCTGAATAAAGGATATTTCCTTTAGCAGGTACTACATAGACACCTTGTTTAAACCAGTTATTCCCGCTGAAATATCGGCTATGTCTTCTGCTTCAAAATGCAACTGAAATTCACAACATGGTAACTGGTTTTCCCATCCAAATGAAGCACTAAATCCAGAGATGGCTACACATCTAAATATGCTGCACCAAGTTTAAGCACTGCTTTATGTATCCCCTGGAGGATGTAACAACATTCAGCACTTAGCATTGGCAGTTGTTGCGTATTTTGAGTTAAATATTAAGCCTTTTAGGCAAAATAAAAAAAAAAAAAATGTCAGGGAGAGAGTGTGTCTAATATTTAACTTTAAACAGGAAATGTCCAGGGATAGTCTGGTTTCATCAAGGCATTTTGAGATATATGATTCTTTTGCTCTAATCCACCCTTTTTAACCCAAAAAGTTGCAATGGTGCTTTGTATGCCAAGTGCACCAGGGCAGGTGTGCTGCTCTGCTGCTGTGTGTGGGGCAGGAACTGTTTGGAGTAACTCCTGAAGAGCAGGCTAACTCCTTTAGACAGCAGTCAGGAAAATCCTTTAATCTTTGGGGGAATTTTCAAGATAAGCTAAAAGTAGGGATGATACCATGCTATAAAGCAAATAGTGGTGAATATGAAGGAGAAGAAAAAAAAAACCCATCATTTGAAAGGAAGGAACTTTTAAAAAGTCTGGATAGATAGTATATTGTGTAAGTATTTGCCTGGTACTCATCAGTGTAGCATTTCCCTGTTTGTGACCAAGGGCCTAAAAACCTGTTCTTAGGAATTACTTTTCTTTCCCATATTTCTGAAGGTCAGTAATAAGCAGTGACTGATACTTGCATGGCCTTTTTCATCTGTTGATTTTAATTTGCTTTAATGGCCAGTTTTAAAGGTCCATATCAGTAACATCTTGGTCTGTTCATGGCTGGCAGATCTTTAAACATTGCAGAACAGGAGATCGATGCAAAAATCAGCTGACAATACAGGAGGGAAATTGGGAGACCGTATAAGTTCATTTCCATATCAGCATACTCAGGATGTCAACAGATAAAGCATTTCTGGAATATTCGTAGAAACAAACAGAAGGGCCTGGGTTTCTCCAGGAACTGTTCAAGTTCTTTTCTGCCTGGACTGCAAATTAAAGGGAAAAACAGCAGGTCTATTTTGTATCCAGCTCCTGAAGAAGGTCACATAACTGAACTTTTCTCTTCAAGCTTCTATTCTTAGTGTGAACTTTCACTGACTTCTCTATTGATGCCTTGTTTGTTTGTAATTTAGTAAATTGTACTACATGTAGGAAATGGACTTCATGGCAATAAAATTGAAGCCCCTGAAAAGAATACTCACAAATAGTCGAGACCTGAAAAAACAGTACATTTCCTGTGCACCATATCAACCATCCTGCAACAACGCGGTGAGGTCCAGACTGCGTGAATAGGAAATGACAAGCCTAGAATTACTAATAATGATGAAAGGAGACCAGGCTATTCCATAGGGACTACGCGTATATAAAGGTATAACTCTAGCCAACACAATAAACCTTCAAAGCACAAAATGTTAATGTTGAGCAGGAAAGTAACCTAATAAAGGAAGATGTCTTCCACATCCCAGACAAAGCATATTAGAGAGCTTGGATTTAAGTCTAAATGTTCCACCTCGGTCATTGCAATTATCTCTTAAGTATAATGCTTGAATCCAGATCCAGTTCTGGTTTTGAATTCTTCAAACCTCTGTATTTAAGTTTCTTCCCAGTTCTGCATTACCTGGACCAAGTAATTATTTTGGGAAATAGCTGAACCTTTTGGTATGAGCCCAGGCTGTAGTAACTGGCTTAGAGGATAATAGGTATTTTACAGAACAGAAGTTCTTTCAAACAAGGGAAAATTCCTATGAAACAGTTCTAAAGTGTTCATGCTTTTCATCTCTATTGCCCTCAGTCAGGGTGGTCCAGAAAGTCAGATACAGAAGTCAGGACCACACAGTGTAATCTGTACAGAAAGCAGTTCTTCTGTGCTTCTGTGTTGAAACCCTGTGTTGCACAAATACCATCTCAATGCTAAAAATGGGTTCTGATAATACTGGTCTACACACTCTGCTGCAAGACTGTTCCCAAGAGTTCCTGTAAAACCCCACAATAGCACCCTGGCATTAGTCAGAAGAACCCTGGAGAATGAATTTGAGAGACGAATATCTAAAGTTCAGGCTAAAATTGGGAAAGACCCAAGAAAATATTTAAACAAACAAACAAAGTCTTTCCCCTGTAACCCAAGATAGAAGCAAAGGCTGAACAGCATCACATATCAGAGCTAGTAGGCAGGACTGTAGGCAGCATTTCTGTCTTTCTCTAAGTTAGTAGTATGTACATATACTCCTTCTGAGACACCCAGCTTCCTACAAACTCTTCTACTAACATGTGAATCATGGTTCCAGACACTTTCTTCTCCTGTCCTTCCCTGAAATGGGTCACACAGAATTCCCCAGAGCAGCTAAATAAATTAATAACTCATGTCCCTAATGCAGTAACTGTCTCAGATCACCCACAGGGTCATGTGCTTGTTATTTACATCTATCAAGGGATTTAGGTGTATGTGGACTCAGGTGTGGCCTGCCAGGCCACGTGATATTGATGCTCTATCTAAGCTTGCTTTCTAGATGCTGCAACATACTTTAAAGTGTCATTCTACACTGTCCTTTTCCAGTGGCCACAAAATAAAGTACTGAATTGTACTGCAAAAGAGATCGTAGATCACTGAAATAGATCTTTACATTGCTTCACCTCAAATACAGATTCCCTTGCTTCATATGGAGATATAAAACAATTATCTTGGAACATATCTGATTCATAAAATTTTGAGTGTAATAGGCAGTGAAGGGTAATTAGCATAATAAAAGGCGTAAGAGTGAAGACAGGTCTAAAATACAGAGGGAAGATACTTAATACACAGCTAAAAGAAGGAATATAGTTGGTAAACTTCCTTTCTGGCCTGCTTTGGTATATACATTGAGAGAAATGAGCTTTAAGGGAGCTGTGACATAGGAAAAATAACATTCTCTGTTTTAAAGTCACTCCTCTGTACCATGACCTCTTTCTAATAACACTTAACTTTGGTAAGGATTTGGGGGGATTTTTGTCTTTACACTGGTTACAGACAAAGACCTCTTCTCCTAATTCTATTTAAATCCTTGAGAGTATTCTTACCAGTTTTAGAAACATATATGTACATAAACTTAAGTCAAACAGATGTTGAGGATTTTGATATGGATGGAAAATTCTGGTCTGCATTTAGACTCCCTGCCTTTCTAGCAGACTCTGCAAAAGCCACAGGTACAATCACCTATAGAGTAGGAGATCCAAATTATAAACCTCATATAGCTGGCTTTGTGTCATCTGCTTTTGGCTTCCTGCCATTCTGAGGTCTGGGTGAGGGGAAGTGGCTGAAAACTGTGGAAGTTTATTATTGACAATACATCTTGTCTGCTCTCAGGCATGCCTGGGACCAAAGCAGCCCCTAACCAGCCTCAAGTCTGCAGAGTGAAATGTACATTTTCTGTAAGTTTAAGAAACTTTGGAAGAGTTCTTCTGTTAGCACTATTGTCTTTCTAGCTAGAAATATTCTCCTAGCTTGCTTTAACTAAATCACACCTGAAAACATATCTTTAAACCAGAAAAGAGTCACAAATTGACCACTTTTGCCAGTTATAAAACTTCATTCTTCCCTGGAATATGGCTATCTCCCTGGTGCACAGGAAGTGCATTAAAGAAGTAATAAACACTCATAAAATACATTTAATGATCTAACATTTAAAAGAAGCGTTCTTCTTCATTACTGTAACTTTCTGCTAAATTACCACCAACAAGATTGCTCATGGGCTCAAAAGGTCAGTGTTATTTTTGCTGTTGAAATCGTGGAGTCTGGGAAACAACTGTGTGTAAATTGCTGATAAACTGGAACAAAGACAGAAGAGAAAAACACTGAACATATAAGAATGCAAGTAAACCAGCAGGAAAGGAGGGGAGGGGAGGAATCTCACGGACAGTTTATTAAAAGAACAAAAGAATAAAATCTGGCGCATTTGTTTTCCATGGGTTCAGGAAGCCCGGTCTTTAAGCACCTACTATAAATAGAGTGTTCTAATCCTTCATCAAAGCGGCTAGTAGTCTATAACAAAATGAATGAATTTTAGGTATAATCTGGAAAGAGAAAGGTGTCCCTGCCCTCCTAGTAGGAGAAAGAACTTTTGTTTCAATCCTTGCAGAAATTAGATATTTTAAAGTGTAAGAGCTGGACAGATGAGGCAAAGTCTGGAACATGATGTTTCTATACTGCCAGATGCCTGGCAAGAATACTGTTAGAGAGTGGAATTAGCAAACACCTAATTTGGGATTGAATAATCTGATTTTGAGGAAGATGGTCTTGAATTTATCTCATGGTTAACTTGAAAACCCTCAAGGAGTTCCCCTCTGAGTGGAAACTCTGTGAATTCCATAAACTTTTAAAATGTGTTTGATAGGGTTGATAGGGATATCATATAGAAAGTAGTGGGAACTTATCTGAAATTCTGAAAAGGACAATTTTCAGTCACTTAGCTCTCTATAAAGGATTTGAGTGTAAAGTAATCCCAAAAAAGCTACCTCAGAGCCATCCAAGTTAAAACCAAATGCAGAATACAGGAGACCTATGTTGCCCTTAAAGAAAA